GCTTAGGCAGTGCTGGAGAGGTTAGAAGAAAACTAGAGGCAAAGTGATCAATTGGAAGACTATTACAAGATTATAGCAGTGGCGATGGTGTGGCAAGAGCAAATGCAAGACTTGTTAATGGTTTGGAAACAATAGGATTTCGTTGCCGATTGTTAGGCAAGTGGAGAGGAAGTATGGTGAAGTAACTGGTACAAATCACAGATATCTGACATGAGAGCTGGAGGTGCTGTCCAAAATTAGAAGGACCGGTTTGGGGAGAAAAAAAGATTAAACCTCAGTTTTAAACATGTTTAATTTGAGGTATTGGCAAGACTTCTGCATTGTTAATGCTCAGAAGGCAAATGAAGATATGTTAAGATTGTGTTCCTCAGCATGACATTGGCTGTTGAAGCCATTGGAGTAAATGAGGTTGCTTTAGGATGAGAAGATAGAGTGACAAGAAAAAGAGCTAAGGAAAGGAAAGAATGTTGGGGCATACCAACGTTTGAAGGGGTGCCAGAGGAAGATGATTAGCCTAAAAGGAAACTAAGAAGGAAAAGCTGGAGGAGAATAGTGCCATGGAAACCAAAGGAAGAGACTTCCAAGAAGTCATCCACTGCAGAAAGGTGGAGTAAGAGATTGACAGAAAAGAGTTATATTTAGCAAGTAGAATGTATTGCTGATCTTTGCCAAAACAATTTCAGGGAAGCACTGTTTGGAGGGAGATGAAAAAGTGATTGTAGTAAGCTTAAGTGAGTAGATTGAGGAACTTGATATAGTAGGTATAGCGTTTTTCATCCTCAAAAAGTTTAGCTGTTAGTTGCCATTGAAGTGGCCCCACCTTGTAGATACCCTCTGTATAGTTAGCCCTCCATATGCACACATCCAAAGATTCAACAAACCTTCAACCAAAAATATCCAAGGAAAAAAATGGCTCCTAAAAAGCAATTCAGTATCAGAGCAATCCTTTAAAGGCTAAGAGTGAGCATAAAGTGCTATTTACTTAGCATTTTCATTATATTGGGTATCATAAGTAATCTAGAGATGATTTAAAATATACGGGAGTATATGCAAATACCACACCATTTTACATAAAGGACTTGAGCATCTATGGATTTTGGTGTCTGCAAAGGGTCCTAAAACCAGCCCCCCACCCCATACCAAGGGCTGACTGTACTGAGGGACAACCATACAACAGAACAAGATATCGCTAACCCCGGGCCGTTCTCATGACTGTTAGTGTGTTTGAGTCCGTTGTTGTGGTTGTTGTGTCAGTCCTCAGTGAGGGTTCCCCTCATTTTTGCTGACCCTCTACTAAACGTGATTTCTTTCTGTTTGTCTCTACTGACTCTAAGAAAATAAATTAGATAAGGCATTAGTTAAGTGGGGTTCTATACATTTTTTGGTTTGTTTCTTTTTAATATGAGAGAGACTTTGTAGTATTTAAGATTATAGTGAAGGAATGAGCAAATGAGAGGGAGAGTGAAAATACAGAAGAGGAATAACAGAGTCATCATTCATTTGTTAAATATCTGTTGGTAGCTAACTATGTTCCAGACACTGGATGTGAAATTACTCAGGTTGCTGAAGAGATTCCAGTGATGGAATTGAGAGTAGAAGACGAAAAACAAAAGAGATACATATACGTTCTCCTGAGACCAGACAAATGGAAATGAGAAAGACATAGGTCGTCTTTCACAGTGTTGGGGCAGGATATTGAGGAAGCTGAAGCCAAATAGAACAGCCACAACTTGTCTGTCAGGTTTTTGTACTATGGTGGCTTATATATTGCAGTGATAACAAGTTGTTTAGGGAAAAACTATGACAGATAATTTTATTCATTAATATGGTGAGGTGTGCATTTTCTGGAGCTCTGGTGGCACAGTTCCTGAGGCATTTGACTGCTAACCAAAAGGTTGGTGGTTCAAACCCACTGGCCACTCCATGAAAGGAGGACTGGGCAATCTATTTCCATAAAGATTTACCTCCTTGGAAACCCATGGGGGGGGGTCACTATGAGTCAAAATCTACTTGATGGCAGTGAGGTTTTTTTGTGTGTGTGGTTTTTTTTTTTTTTTTTTGGTTTATACATTTTCTGTATTTCACATATCTGATTTAATAATTCCCTCTGTTAATAATTCCTCTGGGAAAGAAAAATACAACAAAATAAATTTAATATCGAGTGGAGAGTGAACCACATGAATGGGGAGAAGAGAAAAGGAAACACAGGAAAAGTGAGGTTTCTAGACTAACTTGAAGAATGTGGCAGTTTTGTTCAATTAAACAGTTGTAATTGCCTCTACTTGTATTTTGGATAAACTGTAATGAATTTTTATACAGCAGTTATCTTTTCCTGTTATTCTGTCTGCTGGAATTACCACTTTTGCTCCTAAACAAAGCATATGACAGCTAACCTCTTGGAGGGGGATCTACGTAGGAGATCCTACATAGAGTGGAAGAACAATGTGGAACAAAATTCAAAATCATAAAACAAAAAAAAAGGGATCAGATTTGCTGGTCTAATAGAGCCTGGTAGAACCCCTGAGATTATGGCCCCTAGCAGCCCTTCAGTCTGGAATTGAACCCGTTCTTGTGGCTTCCAGCCAAACAAAAGACAGGCATATGAGCTGAACATTTACATTAGGTAGATACATACACTCCTTGGAGAGATCATTCATGGGAGAATAGAAAGACTGTGTATATGTACAAGGAGACAGCTTGGGGGAGCAATAGTGCATGGGCAGGAAGGACATAAGGAAGAGGTGGCTATGAAGAGGAAGTGGGAGAAGAGCTGATGCATTGTAGGGGATTACAGTCAATGTCATGAGATAAAGTATATGTGCACTGCTATATGGAAGATGAATTTGCTCTGTAAACTTTCACCCAAATCACAATAAAATTTAAGTATGTGTGTGTGTATGAGACAGCTAGATGACCTGTTAGAACACAATGTCTTTTTAAATACACATATCACTCTAAATGCTTTTCCTGCTGTTTTTTCTATTATATATGAAAAATGTTTTGTTATTTTCATTTTTATTGGCAAAATGCCAACCTTATTGATTTTTAATGCTATTGTCTGCTCTTTTGCAAGAAATATGAAATCTTCAGGCCCCCTGAGTGTGTTTAATACTATCATCCAACATAGTTGAATCTCTGAATATGAAGAAATGAGATGATTAAGCTTTGTGCTAGAATCATATACAGGCATACCTCATTTGGTTGTGCTTCACTTTATTGCACTTTGCAGATACTGGGGTTTTGTTTGTTTATTTGTTTGTTTGTTACAAATTCAACGTTTGTGGCAACCCTGTGTAGAGCAAAATCTATCAGCACCATTTTTCCAACAGCATGTGCTCACTTTGTGTCACTGTATTACATTTTGATAATCAGTATTTCAAACCTTTCCAAAATGCTCTTGCACACTTAATAGACTACAGTATTGTGTAAACATAACTTTTACATACATTGGGAAAGCAGAAAATTCGTGTGACTGTTTATTGTGACTTTATTGCAGTGATCTGGAACCAAATCCACAATATCTTCGAGGTATACCTGTAATTTAAGGACTTAGTGCTAGAGGAGCCCTTATAAATCATCTAATCCGACCCCCCCACACACACACACACCTAGTAGAGAAATAAAGTTCCTGCGACAATAACTTTCTTCAGTGTACGGGACTGTAAAGTGCCTTCAGAAGGCTGGTTTCCACATACTATACTGTCTCTGGTGCCTAAGGCATTTGACTGCTAACCAGAAGGCTGGCAGTTCAAATCCACCAGCCACTCCTCGGAAGGAAGGTTGGGTGATCTGCTTGGGTAGTGAGTGATACCGCCTCAGAAACCCAAGGAGGAGTTGCTATGAGTCAGATCTGACTCGATGGCAGTGTGTCGTTGTTTGTTTGTATACTGTCTCCTCATCAAACCTTGTCTGGTAAGCTCCTTTTTCACACGTTTCACACGTTGTCTTCAAGAATGACTTTTGTCCCTTAGCCTTCCCCACAGCACTACTACCAGATCCAGACCTTATATTTTATTACCACTCCTATTTCTTCTAGTTGAAACCTATTTTCTGGGAGATGTTGAGGACTATGAAAAGATTATGATAACTTGGTAATACGCTAATTGCTAACTATACTGGCCAGAGTTAATGCGAGTTTGCAAAATATCTTCATTATTGCTAAAGACAGACTTACATTGCCCATCCTTTTCATCTGGGTTATTGTCTATGAAAAACATACGCACTATTATGAAGACACATAGTTTCAGAAACTGATGGCAGTTAGCATTGAGAATGAAATCCTGTATTTTTCTCCTCAGTGGTTCTAAAACTATCAGATGGGATAGGTATGTTCTTAATTTATTGAGGTGAGCCATTTTTCTGTGACATAAATGAGTAAGTCTCCGCTCTCTCATCTGTAAAGCAAAGACATTAATACTACCTCACACAGTTGAGGATTTGAGTAATATTTTCAGCTCACTTAGTTTGTAATTCTTTTTAGTTTAGAGAGGGATGCTTTTTCTCTAAAATGGTTTCTTTTGTGTGTATTTATATAAAATGGTTCATGATAAGTATTTATGATAGTAATCTAACCTAATTGCCCTATCTAAATTTAAATAAACAGTACAGTAAAGTAATTATGGAAATTTCAACCCAAATCAAGGTTATTGTACTAAATTGTAGGTCAAATAAATGTGTGTATATCTATAGTCACTTGGAGCCTTATAGTTAAAAGCCCATTGTCTTTAGTGACTAGTATCTTCTGACTAAACTTCTCTGAAAAATATTAGAGTCCATTGAAAGCCTCTATGAAAAATATTCTTGCTTGATATTCATATTCTCCAATGGCTAGACTTCTTAGAAATTTTAACTAATTGTAAAGTCATATTTCTAGTCAAATAAATATTTAGGGAGAAAACATACTTTCCTAGTAAATCTATAGGTATTCACATTGAAAAAATAATAATAACTAACAAATAGTTTTTTTTTAAGCATGTGGTGTTGTTTTTCTTTCTTTGCAGTTACGACAGCTAGTTAATATATGTATCAGCCCGGATCCCGAGAAACGACCAGACATCACTTACGTTTCTGACGTAGCAAAGAGGATGCACGCACGCACCACAAGCAGCTAAACGTGGAAGATCATAAAGAATGTAACCAAAATAATTTAAAGTATTTTTGTGCAAATCATACCTCCTATTTTTGTCTGGGTGTTAAGATTATTATTTCAGAGCTAATGTGCTTTGAATCCTTAACCAGTTTTCATATAAGCTTCATTTTGTACCAGTTTAAGTAACCTTCTTACTAACCCCAAATGACTTTGGAATAATCAAATTGCATGTTAGGAGAGTAAATTAAATGTGATGGTTTTTAATGAGTAAAGGTTTTTAGAATTACTTAATTTTTCTGCAGATAAAATTGTGCTCACATGGACTCTTGGTGCCAAATATTGAAGGTGCAGCTTGGCACACATCAGAATACATTCACAACCTGAGGAAAAGTATCTGAACGTGTGGTTTGTTTGCCTTTTTGTCATTTGTGGACATGTGAGGTGAACACAATTGTGAACTTTTTTGATGATTGTATTCTTAAAAGTTTGAAGTATGTGTTTTAGTTTTTAGAATTGTAGTTTTCAAATATAATTCTTGAGATAAGCTTAGGCGTAAACTATTTGACCTTAAAATTTAGAATTGTTTGCTTTCACATTCAAAATGCAACTGTTAAATGTGAAAAGGTTTGGGGGCAAAATGTGAGTCAGACACTGAAGAGTTGTTTTGTTTTGTTTAAATATCTTTGATATTCTCTTTATAGTAAATTGGTATAAATGAATCCATTTAAAAAGTGGTTAAGGATTTGCTTGGCTGGTGTGATAGTAATTTTTAAAGTTGCACATTGCCCAAGACTTTCTTTGTGTGTGTTTTTATTATTGTTTGTACATTTGAAACATATTCTTTGAGTAAACTTGCAGTACTATATTTTAATTTCTTTATAAATTTAATTAGCTCATAATTGTTCACTATAGTGTAAGCACATGTTTTTATTCATAGATTTTATTGAAGTTCTGATTGGTTCCCTTCAGAAATTTTATATATTCAAGTGACTTTCTTATTTATATTGTGTGTACATTTTATCCATTAATATCTCCAGTTTTTGAGAATATAATACCATTTTTAAAGATAGTTGGCATACCAATACTTCTCTTGAAATGAAAACATTTTTTAACTTTTTAAAATTGGGCTACCCAGTATGTGTGCATTTTGTCTTATTAAAGAGGAAGAAAGGATGTATGTTGTGCTGTACCTGTGAATGTTGATATAGTTTCAATTTATTAGAATATTTTGAAAGAAATGAAAGCTGGCCATTGCTGTAGCCAGAATTTTTAAGGGATTAACATTTCTGTCGAGAAGCTTTTAAGCAGAGTACTATATTCATGCATGAAGATGACCGAGACAGTTAACGCTTCATTTAGTTTCAGGAATTGGACAGAGTTTAGTAAATGCTGTTGTGGAGATGTGTTATCCCTGAATGTCTTCATGTTAGTGGTGACCAGTTCCTCACAGAATCATGAAGCCAAAGGGCCAAGTGGCAATCACTGTTAAAAGACACTGCCATGCCACCATAAAACCTTGGAATTGATTATCCTGGCAACGTGAAAACCTCATGTTCAGAGAATGCCTACCCTTAGTTGATATAATTGATGATTTTGTTTTTTCAAAGAAATATTTTTCTTAAAATCATTTGAATACTTTCAAGATATGCATAAGCTCTAAAAATGTATAAAGAGTAATATGTATGAACCCATCTTTTTAAAGTTTGATCACTTCTGTATGGTTTCTGAAGGGTAGTTTCATCTTGGGATAGACAAACCTGGTTGGTCCTTTATTTGATGGCTGAATGCATAATTTCCTAGATGCTGATGATTTCCAACCGTTACTTTGAACATCTATACATTTATCTCCAGAAGTATGAGTAGAATTGCTTTTGTTTTTGTTGACCATTAGTGTTATGTTCATTTTAATGTAATAAAGTCGATTGGGATGAAATGTCCTCCTAGGAAGAGATGCTCTCCTTTTTGTTACAGTCTTTAGAAATTCATGGATCTAAAATTCATTAGCTTAGCCCACTCACCGTGACTTTTAAGCTTTTCATTTTAGTGAATCTGTCTTGCTAGACGGATATAGCTGGCAAGAATTTATTGATCAGGAAAGTTATCATTTTCTTCATGTGGAATTGTCTTGTTTTGGATTTTTAACAGAAGTGTTCATATACTTTTTTTCTGAAGAAACCACTGTGTAAAATTCAGGTTTTAATTTTGAATGGGATCATTTCAAAGAACTATGAAGATGATTAGAAGAATTTTTATAATGGCCCATAAAGTACTCTTTTTATTTGTTTGTAAATGAACATTGTCTTGATTAAGTTAAAGGTTAGAATTGATTTCACAAGCAGTAAAATGAAAGGTACATCTGATTCTAAACCTATGTTGACATTGGTACCGTTACCCATGTGGGGTGACTATGTTTCATATGCAGAGGTTTAGGAATAGTGGATGAAGCGTATCCCTATATAAATAAAGTGCTCAACAGTGTGCAATGATTGTAAATTTAGTAAGATATGATAGCTGTTTCATGAATGCTTTACCACTCTACTAGTATCTAATACAAAACACCTTTCCTATATCTGTATGCTTCAGGTGTTGCTGTTAACATTTACCATGATATTTATTTTAGCCAAAATGTTATTCACATTAAATGTTTATTCTTTGAAATGAATGTATTATGTTTGTAAGCCACAAATGCATAATTATCTTATGCCTCATATTTCAATAGTACTGTAATATGGACTTCTTTGTGAAATACTTTTTTTTTGTTATGCTTTAAATGCACATACTAAAAACAATTCTGTTACTAGCCTTGAAAATTGTACAATATCCTAATATAAATAAAAATATAAAAATAAAAAATGAGTACCGGAAGATTTCTATGTATCTGTGACTTTTTCCTAAAGTCTGTCATTATTTTACTTAATATTGAATCTACAGAAACAGTTCTTAATCATTTCCATAACTGCCATTTTGGAGAAGTCTAAGAATTGCTACAGTGCAGAATAGGTTTCAGCAGAGCTTCCAGACTAAGACGCACTACAAAGGTAAGACCTGGCAATCAACTTCTGAAAAGCAGCCAGTTGAAACCGTGTAGATCACATTAGTCAAATCCATAACTGATCATGGGCTGGCTCAGGAGTGGGCAGCATTGTGTTCCATTCTGCATGGGGTTGCCATGACTTGGAACTGACTGGATGGCGGTTAACTACCACCACCACAAGAACTGAAATCATCAAAGGTGATAATGGAACTCTGGCAGGTGCCAAGAAGATGTAGTTTCTAAAATATGTATTAAATTAAGGCATATCTTCACATGCTCCTGTCCTTACCAGTATTTCATTTTCTGTCTGAATAAGAAAAGTTTTCTAAAAGGTGAAAAAGGAAGATTAGTCTTCGTATGTTGAACTTTTGTTGTTGTTGTAAGGTGCTGTTAGTTGGATCTGACGCATAGTAAGTCTACAACAGAATGAAACGCCACCCAGTCCTATACCATTCACAGTGGTTGCCATGTTGGAGCCCATGGTTGTAGCCACTGTGTCAGTCCATCTCCTTGAAGGTCATCCTCTTTTTCACTGACCTTGTATTTCACCAAGCACGATGTCCTTCTCTGGGACTGCTCTCTCCTAATAACGACATGTCCAAAGTACAGCAGTCAAAGTTTCGCTGTCCTTGCTTCTAATGAGCATTCTGGCTGTACTTTTTTCAAGACAGATTTGTTTGTTTTTCTGGAAGTCCATGGGATATTTAATATTCTTCACCAGCACCATAATTAAAGTCATCATTTCTTCTTTGGTCTTCCTTGTTCACTGTACAGCTTTCACATATGTATGAAGTGATTGAAAATACCATGGTTTGGGTCAGGCACATCTTAGTCCTCAAAGTGATTGAACACTTTGAACATGTTAACACTGCAAACCTATAGTCTAAAATTCAGGTTCCAATTCCTATCGGTTACTATAATGTGCTGCTGAACAGTGTTACAAATGGTTTATATCTTGAATGTATGTTTTTTAAAATATACACTTTATTTTTAAAATAAGTTTTAGACTTACAGAAGGAGCTCTAATGGTGTATTGCCTGAGGCATTTGACTGCTAACCAGAAGGCTGGTGGTTCAAACCCACCAGCCACTCCCCAGAAGGAAGGTGGTACAATCTACTTCCGTAGTGATACCACCTCGGAAACCCAAGGAGGGGTCACTATGAGTGGGATCCAACTTGATGGCTGTGAGGTGGTTATTTTTTATTTATTTATTTTGTAACAGAAAAGCGATGCAGCAAGTAGAGTTCTCATATGTCCCCTCACCCTAGTTTATCCTATTATTAACATGTTGAATTTGTGTGGTGCATTTGTTACAATTCATGAATATTGATGGATTATTATTAAAGGTTGGTAGCGTAATGTCTAAGGCACTTGACTGCTAACCAGAAGGCTGGCGGTTCAAAAACACCAGCCACTCCTCGGAAGGAAGGTTGGGCAGTCTATTTCCATAGTGACACTACTGCCTCGGAAACCCAAGGAGGGGTCACTATGAGTCGAGTCCGACTCGATGGCACATAACAACAACAACAGTTTACAATTGGGTTCACACTTCATGTAGTACAGCCTACGGATTTTGGGAAATGCATGTCATGTGTCCACTATTACAGTATCATACAGAATACACCTACTCCTCACTTAATGACATGGTTAGCTTCCAAAGACTATCTCCCATCACCCAGTAGGCACCCTTCTCTCCCACCCTGTTCATCTTGGCATACCTATGGTACGGTGAACCTACCTTGCCTACAACCTGAGCCTGTGGGGAGGGGCAGAGGGAGTAAGGAAGGGGCTGGAGCAGCAAGGAGCCACTATCACCTGGCTGTGCTTGAGGCCGCCCCACTTTTCTGCTCCTCCCACCCAGGAGAGAGGCCCTGGTGGCTGGTGGCTCCCAGACCTGCAAGCAGGTGAGTGAGCCTGGCTACCTGTGCCCAGAGGAGGCTGCAGAAGAGAGGCATCTTTGGAAGAAAAGACTTGGGAGCTCTCCACCTTCCCCTGCCCAATTCTTGAGACCTTGCTCCCGCAGCCTCCTAGTGGCCCAACTGCTCCTCCTCCCAACCAGGGTGATAGAACTGCACTGGCCCCACAGTTAACTGCCTCTCACAAAA